AAAAAAAAAAAAAAACTTCCTACCAGTGGCCCTCCTGCACAAAACTTAACATCTAGCACAGTTTTATCATATGTAGAATGCAAAATGTTTCAATAAGGATTTCAGTCAAAAGCAATTTATGCAGTATTTCAAACCTTTAACCCACGGGGAAATAAACCCATGGCAACAGTTTAAAAGTAGCCCAATTCCATGGAAAAAAACAAGGACTTGACAACCCTGCATCCATACACGAGCTGCAGGAGTCAGATTTGACTGATCACGGGTCGAGAGAGATGACTGACAATGCTGGAGGATTTGCTGCTCGTCAGATCCTGAGCTTATTGACAAATATCTGATCTTGTAAGATGTGCTCCCTTTACACAGAGCACGATTGATCGCGAAATAGAAAGTGAGAGTGAACAGCGAGCGTTCATTCAAATGCGATTTCAATACCCCGCTCACTGATGTGCGAAAATTATATACAATATTAGAATGTTTACGGGAGCTGGACACACATGTTGCGGGAGCGGGCGGTAATGGTCAGAAATTCAGCGGGAGCAGGCTTTAGAAAACAGTCTCTAGGGCTCTAGGCAGCACATCAACACACACGCTAGGTTTTTTTTCACGCTACCCCATCTCCACTCCCAATTATTAGTGCTGTTTCGTTCTGTCTTTTGACAGCACATATAGGACAATTTTTGAAATAGCACCATAAACAACATTTATTTCAAATTTAATTCAAGCACTTTCAAGAAGCCTGGGAACCCTGCCATCAGATTTGTATCAATGTGAAAACCAAAGGGAAAGTGTCACAGAGACCAGAGACGTCACCGCTGCCAGTTAGATGGCACCAATCAATGTAGGATTTTAAATCTTAAACAAACATCAAACATCAAAAACAAAAAAAACACACCAAATGATCTAGAAAGCATTTGAATGGAGTCTGTATGTTAAGCAGTTTGGGCTGAACAGGTTTATTTAGTTAGTTCTTTCAGGATTATAGAGTGGGGGAACTATGACGGCAGATATGTTATTCCATGCTGGTTCCTTCGAGATTTTCCTATGGGGTTTTTCAATTTATGAGTAAAATAAAGACTGTGTAAACATAACTTGACGATACTTTGGTGTTTTGTTCTACAACGTAAATTACACACATCCATACGCAAAACACAAATTTTGAAGCAGTTATGTTCATTTTTGAAAATTTATGTTTTTAATAAGTAACTACAGTAGATAAAAACTGGGCTGTGAGTGTGTGTAATTTACATTGTAGAACAAAACGTAAAAGTATCGTCAAGATTTGTTTACCACAGGCTTTATTCTACTCATAAATTGAAAAACCCCATTATAAAACCCCATAGGAAAATCTCAAAGGAACCCGCTTGGAATTACACTTCC